CTACCACGATACCTTAAAGTGTGAATATTATTGATAATTAAAAGAAGTAACAATAATCAGAACCCTCCTTGACATTCTGTAGAATCTGACAAACATCAGCAGCAGTCCACTGACAGTGCATTAAAGTTGGAGGCAGCTCAAATGTGAGACACTTTTCTTGATTAAAAGGAATGTTAGGCAAATTAATGGTAGTAACTAGTACACACCGTTTGCAGGCTAGCTGTTTAGGGCTAGCCAGAATATGCCATCTGTTATTTCCCAGAATTGTGTAACTTTGAATGCTGAAATTATTGGATTTGGACACTCAATATTCCTTGCATTTTCTTATTAAGGAAGTTGAGAACTTTCTTTGGAAGAGTATCGTTAAATCAGAGGTTTCATTAACATTTTCAACAGGAGGGCAACCTGTTTTCACTTGCAGTTGAAGCATTTTAAACTGAACTTCGTTATAAGAAAAACTTTCCTCTAGATGGTTAAACCAGGTGGGCAAAATTGTTCTCACGGCTGGTCAATTTGCCTGGTGTCCAGCCCTTAATAAAATCCCTGTAGGAATGTACAGGCATTGCAGGATAATGTTTATAATATTAACTGATTGGTAGTATTAGTATTGAGAAGAGGGGATTTACTGGTATGTGAGGGAAGAGTCTCAGTGATTTTAACTGTCTAACATACATGCAGTGTGTTATTTGTATGCACGACCTTTCCCTTGATCTTCTGGTCAAGTAAAATACAGTAATCGATGAAAGTGCTGTTTTTGTCACTGACTTGTATATTTTAGCAAGACATGACACACAAGTCAGTGACAAAAAACGGCACTTTTATTGACTATGTCATCTCCTGACTACATTTACTCAATGTTTAAAATACAGTTAAGTCAGTTGTTTTTGTGTTTAATTGAATTACAGGAAAATAGAATCATTGCAAAGTCAGCTGGATAGGACATTGCATTCCAGTGAACCTTTAAGAAAGGTACTAAGCCAGTGTACTAATAAATTCACCAAGAACTAGTACATACTTTTGCTCTAAATGATGACGTGTTTGCTCCATTTGAAGTTGTACTTGACTGTTTAAAGGTTGTAGTAGTGGTCTGTAATTTCTCATGCCTGGAGGTGTAGCTTGTTGGGAAAGGGGTGAAGTTTCTATGGTGCCTGTAACCACTCCTTATTACAGTCCAAACATTGATTGCAGTAACAAGAGATTCTACTCTACGTGTAGGTCGAGTGACTTGATGCTTTGAAAATCAGAGTTACAGTAGGACATAATATTATTAGCAGTCTTAGTTAGAGGTTCATAATATACAATAGCATTACTTTTTCTTTGTCATTATGCCACATTTTAATTGCACAACAAGTGCTGCCAGTTCCATGAACATTTTTGGCATGTACTTGTACCACACAAGTTAATAAGCAATATCACAATCTAAGAAGTGGAAACAATTCTTCATGTTTAATTCCTGTTTTGTTTACTTCCAGAATGTAGCAAGACTACATAGGGAAAAATCTTTAGCTGATTCAACCATTTCAGAATTAAGAGAAAAGCTGCAGAATTTTGAGGTACTGTACTGTGCATCAATGAAGGCATTACTCAGCAAGTTGTTTTTCATATATTAATTTTCAGGTAAAAATATTTCAATTATTTTAACAATACTTACAATTACAGACATGAACCTGCACATGTGATAACTCTAGGTTAGTAGGCCACTTCCGAGTTGCCTTTTGCCTCGGCGTCAAAAAGAGTCTTTGTATGAAACCATTCATGTGGAAAAGTGTTCTGCCGTCTGTTCTAACTACAGGTTCATTTTCATGCAAATCAAACTCATTTTCATATGAAAGGTTTTGCACAAAGACTCGTTTTGAAACAGTGGCTCAATTAAGGTAACTTGGAAATGACCTATTGTAAAGTTTGCATTAGAGTTTCTTACACTAGTGGGGATTCAGGTCATTGAACATTTAACTGGAGTGAAAATGTCTTTTTATACAGAAAATAAACTCTGAGTTGCTAAGCACAGCTAAAATCAAGGAAGAGCAGGAGTGTGCATGGAGACTGGAGAAACAAGTTCAAGCACATGAGATGCAAAAACAAAAGAAAAGGTTATTAATAGCTACTAACTGTACATGAGAATTCCCATACAATCCATTTGTCTTGCTGTTGTGGTATGAGGCACATCCATGTCCAACTGTGTTGTACATCTAAGCTCATCTAAACGTACATCTAAGTATTTATACCATACCATAGAAGAAACAGCCAATAAGAATACAGGAAAGCCATCGTATATTTGATGGTATTCCATCCAACCTTCCCATCATGCTCCATGCACATGTCACATTGATTGTGTTGATCTCTGTATTTTCAATGGCATGGTATAAAATAGTTATGCCAACGCTTTCTCCTGGTATACTATGGAATACCATGTAATATCCCACCACCAGAAAATTTCAAGTGCCATTTGTGATATTCCATGTTATACCTCTTGAAAGCGTTAAAAAACTAGTATTTACATACTGTACTGTATACCTTTATTTATTTAAGCCAGGGTAACCCATTTGGAGCCAAAGCTGACTCTGTTATCAAAAGGAACCTTAGATTGAAGTTCCATAAGGACATCCCACCAACTAAATAAATAGTAAGGTAACTCTCTAACTGGCAGTTTTCAAGAACGTTGTTGCTGCTTGTAATCATGATACATTTTTGACAGTTTGCAGAAAAGTGAGGGTACCATTGCCAAGCTGCAGGAAGAAATCAAGAAAGCAAAAGGTTTTTTGTTATTTCTTGTTTTCATTTTTTACATACATGTAAACTGAACCCCTCATTATGTATGTTTTTTTTTTGGTATTTTGAGCTGTTGTTCTTTTCTCTCCATAGAGAAAAACAAAGAATTGAACAAATTGCTGGGTCAAGCCAACAGAAAGGCTGCAAAAATGGAGCAACAGCTTCAGAAATCCATGGTAAGTAGTTGCTGCTGTTACTTTCCCAGCACAGAGAAGAGAGTGATCGCCACTGCATCTTTACAAAAGCTTTGAGTGTGTGGTGTAAGGCCCTAACATCTGTACAGTCTTAAGATAGATATTGAATGCCAGTAACTGATTTTTTTCTTTTAAAACAGGAGGAGATTCAAAGTGTCAAGCTAGAGGCAGAGTTTGGTCAGTGTAAATTTATTTTGTACATGTGCACATAGCCTCTTATGATTTGCTTTTTTTTGGTTTGATTGCTTTTAAACCAGTTTGCCTTTCAATTTTCTTGGACTGTTATCGTTACCATGTCTTTTGAATTGTAAAGTGGCTTTACTGCCTGCTTACTGTAGGACCATACGGTTACATGTACTTCTTTTGTTTCAAAATTAATAACTGAATTGTATGTAATTCAATATTTTTGTTTTCCTTCTTTTGCGTAGCTTTCACTCACTTTTGGTTTCAACCAACTGTATGTAGTCGAATGGCTTACTTTCGAAGAATACTACATTCTCTGTTCTTTCCTTGTTTGTTTGCTTACCTGATCCTTGATTTTCACAGCAAAAGCCCTTGGGGAAGATTTGACAAAGAAAACCTCTAAACCAAGGTAGGATTGAACGGTGATAATGAAAACAAAGTTTCCATCTCGGTGCTTGGATCGGACTGACATCATGTTTACAGTGGTCACATATTTTCTGCAGACATCAGAAATGAGGTCACAAATAACTTGCAACTCTGTCGGCAGCAAAGAGTTTGTTGTCTCCAATCAAAATCGAGATTCTTATAGCGGGAATATATCTAGTTTCCCGGTACATGTAAATTAGTTAGACATGTTTAATAGTGTCAGTTGTTAAAAATTGCCTTTACAAGAGCTGTTTCACATTTTTCACGAAATCTTAACGTTATGCTTTTATGTTGTTTCTTGTAGGCAGCGACAAAAAGCCCGTCAGCCACCTCGACAGCCGCCCGTGGAAACGAAACAGACCTCGCCTTCAGCCTCGCATCCAAGTCAACAGCTGGCGCACGTTATAGAGGAATTCTCTATGCTATCCGATATGGAGCCCGCTCTCAGTCCCCTACCGCCCAGTCCTGACAGAGAAGCACTGGGAGACAGTAGCAGCTCCGAGGAAGAGAGTGGCAGTGGAAGCAGCAGCGAGGATGATGGGAGCGGGAATGAAGATGAAGACAGTGATTACAGCCTGGGTGATCTAGCAGACATGCTGATTGGCGATCATGACGAGGGTGAAAACTTAGCAGCGAGTCCTATGAAAACTAGAAGCAGTGATCAAGATTTTCAGGAAGATGTTGAAAACAGCACTGGACAGGAAACGACGACAAAGAACGATGCTGATTGTGCAAAAACTGAAAATGAATCTTCAGTGAGACAGTCACCAAATGAAGCGAGTGCCTCTGATATTGAAGTTTCTGAAAACCTTTCTCACGAAAACTGCAATATTGCTAATCCAAGAGGTGAGACTTCAAAATGCTTATCAACGACTCAAGAAGGTACATGTAGTATCGAAGCTGAAATGAATGAAAATTCACATATTACAGAAAGCGATGGTTCTGATCGTAAGAAAACAGACGAGGAGTCTGCTAAGACTAAAGAACCCTCCAACATCGAGAAATGCACAGTGGTCACGCCCAGTCCTCAACGAAAGGCAAAGCCGAGGATGGCATCATCGAAACCCCGTGTTATGACTCGATCCAGAGCTAAAGCAATGAAACTCAGTTCCTCGTCTGATGCTGAAAGCTCGTCAGAAAGAGAAACAGGAATGGAGGTTAATTCAACTCAAGAAAATTCTTCAGAGGTGTCAGATACGGACTTAAAGCGTGATTCTAATGCGAGTGATATCGGAAAATCTAACGATGGTGGTAGTGGCAACAATGAAAACGTTTCTTCCGTTGCGTTGGTGGATAACATGAAGGAATTCACTGAAAGCTCGCAAGCAAACGAAAGCGTAGAACATGCTAAAGGAAACTTCCAGGATATCTTGCCTGATTCTTCGAATACCGATGCTGATGATGGTGCTCATCACCATGGAAACCTTTGCGAACCCGTCTGCTTGGTAGCCTCTTTTTCAGACTTGAAGGACCAAGAACCTACTGAAGACAATTCAGCTGTATTACTAGTAGGAGTGGAAGCGGATGTCATCCATTCCCAGACAAACGATGGTGAGCGTAGCTGTTCGGGAGCATTAGGTACAGACTCAGAGGAACAAGCAGGTAATGAAGGCAATTCAAATGTATTATTGATAGGAATGGATACAGATGCCGTCCAACACCAGAAAAACGACGGTCAGCTTAGTCGTTCAAGAGCCTTACTTTCAGGTTCAGAGAAACAAGAAGAAAATGAAAGCAATTCAAATGTATTATCAGTAGGAGTGGATAAAGATGTCAACCATCAACAGAAAAACGACGGTCAGCTTAGTTGTTCAAGCGCCTTACTTACAGACTCAGAGGAACAAGCAGGTAATGAGGACAGTTCAAATGTATTTACGGGAGGACAGGAAGCGGATGGTAGTAAACTTAGTCATTCAACAGCCTCGCTTTCAGAGCAAGTCGCCTATGACGACGACTCGGATGTATCTCCAGCGCCTACTTCAGAGGCTGCTGCGAACGTACCCACTGAAGTTGGGATCGAAGTTAATCAGGAGATTTCTACAACTTCTGAATGTGGATCTAGAACTAAAGGTGATGCTCCACTTAACATGACTAGGGAGCAAAATGCCGACATCAATGAAATTCCTTCACTCGAACTCAACAATGACAATGCTGACAGCATTTTGGCTAATAAAATCATCAGCGAGATAAATACCGAAGAAAGCCAAACTTCACAGGACAGCAAAATCACCGCAGATGTTAACGGGAACACTGTGTTGTCGCAGTTAGAGGCCAAAGAGAATGCATTTGAACGAAGAGAGGACACCCTTGAAGAGAATAACAACAACATATCTGAAGATTTTGAATCCGCTCCTGAGCAGTTGGAGGATGATTCTGCTCTTGTAGTTGACACTGATTCGTCTGACCAAACTCAGCCCTTTGTGCGTAAGACTCCAAACCGCCCCATTTGTACAACGAAGAGAAAAAGCAAGGATGTATCTGAGCTATCTACAACTTTTGATGGCACCAAAAATGAAGACAGATCAACGGAGCAAGTGTATGTCCCATCAGACGAAGAGACTGATGCAGATTCTTTTCCATGTGTAGTGCCTGGCAAAGCAACAACAAATAAGTTCGTTGAAACTTCAAAAGGTGAACCGGTTTATGTTAGTAGTTCGACTGTCGAAGTAGATTTGAATCTATCTACTCTGACTTGTGAAAAGGAGACAACGATGACAACAGCATCAACAACAGAGACAACAGAATGCTCCTCAACCACAAGCCACGAAGTTGAAACTTCTGAAGACTGCAAGTTAGCTTTAGAAGAAGACGACCATTCACATGTCTCTGACGAGGCAATGCAAAGTTGCTCAATTGACGAGCGCGAAGGAAAAGACTCAAAAGGGCAAGATTCCAGTGTACAAGAAAATATCCCTGTCTTAACTTCTGAGTCTTCTGGAAAGAATTCAGAATTGGAGAAAGATGAGTCCCTGTCTAGTGATGGAGAACAGTTCTCGACCTGTAATGAGGGAGGAAAGTATTCTGATTGCGTAAAAGGTGTACCTGCTTCTAAAACTGCAATTGAAGAAGCTAGTGAACCTTCGACTTCCACTGAGGGAAGAAAGAATTCTGATTGCGTAAAAGATGTACCAGCTTCTAAAACAGTAATTGAGGATGCTAGTGAACCTTCGACTTCCAAGGAGGGTAGAAAGAATTCTGATTGCGTTAAAGATGTACCCTCTTTTAAAACGGTAATTGAAGAAGCTAGTAAACCTTCCACTTCCAGTGAGGGAAGAAATGAGTCTGATTCAGAAAGAGATATGTCTTCTAGAGCAATGACTAGAAAACGTTCCTCCACTTCTACTGACGAAAACCGGCATTTTGATACGAAAGAAGATTTGTCTTCAAGAGTTACGGGTAAAGAGAGATCCTCGCTTGTTAATGAGGGGAGAAAACATTCTGATATGGGAAGAGTTGTGTCTTCTATTGGTACGAGGAAAGAAAGTTGCTTAACTTTTGATGAGGGAAAAAATAATTCTCCTTTGGGAAGAGATGTGTCTTCTAGAGCTGATTTGACTTCTATTCAGAGAAAAAAGGATTCTGCTTTGGAAAATTTGTCGTCTAGGGCAATGAATAAAGAAAGTTCTTCGACTTTTAATGAGGGAAAAAAGCATGCTGATGTGGGAAGAGTTGTGCCTTCTACAGGTACGAAGAGAGAAAGGAATTCTGCTTTGGAAAGAAATGTATCATCTGGAGAAGTGGGTAATGAAAGTCCTTCGACCTTTAATATGAGAAAGAGAAATTCTGATTTGGGAAGAGAGGTGTCTCCTAGAATTATAAGTAAAGAAGGATCCTCTTCGAATGAGAAGGAAATACCCTCTAATCTAGATGTTCGGGAGCCATCGACATTTGACGAGACAAGAAAACGTTATGCGATCAAGAGGGATGTTTCGTCCCCTAGAACTTTAACTGAAAAAGCTGGGGAAAGAAAACGTCCGTCATCATCTCAATTAGATGCAGAAGAGAGTAAACTTGGAGAAAGAGGACAATCTTTGGAATTGCCTTGGTTTCCGAACAACGCAGGACCTTCTGATGACTCCCCAGCTCTATGTGACCCGGAAGACGATTCTCCAATTCAAGCCTTGTTTAATAATCTTGAATGTCTCTTGGAGGAATTTCCTTCACTTTCTCCTCTTCCACCTTCACCTTGTCCTTCGGACGATGAAGAATGTTTAGCTTCCCAAATTTCATCCAGTAACTTGAACAAAGAAAAGTCAAACCGTGTCACCGACTTAACTTTTGCAAAAAAGACTTTTGATGTACGTGGAAAGCCTGAATTTAAACGTGACCAGGAATTGAATTACACTGAAGTCGCATCAAGGAGCGTTAAAAGAACTTCGCTAAGAAATAGCGCGACTATGTGTATAACAGAATCAAACAAACTGAACATTTCAGTAACGCCACGGAATTGTCTTGCAAAGGACAAAACAAGCAAATCAGCGTCTACGTCCTGTTCGGGAGGAAGTGCCTCAACCAAACCTCCCTTACAACGGTCGGCATCCGCACCTCCTCGCGCAGAAGAAAAAGTCTCACTAAAGCGTTCTTATCAACAATCAGTTTCTGAACCAGTTAACAACAAGATCGCTGTCGCGCAGAAAAGCAAGAAGATGAAAACGCAGCCTAAAATTCCTCACAAAGAAGAAACCTCAAGCTTGGAAAATCGGTTAGGTATTTCTAGAGTTCCGGTTGAAAAAGCCACATTCAGTCAACCATCGAAGAAAAATGGTGTTACTAAAGGGCCGGTACTTGTCAGCAGGAAAGGACCAATACTCGCTGACAGTAAGGAGCCAAAACTGGCTGGCAATAAGGGACCAATACAGCCTGGCACTAAGGTGCCAATACTGGCTGGCAAAAAGGAACCAAAAGTGGCTGACAAAAAGGAGCCAAAACTGGCTGGCAATAAGGGACCAATACTGGCCGGCAGTAAGGAGACCGTACTGGTTGGCGATCATGGGCCATTACTGGAGTTCAATGAAAGGCCAGTCCTAGAAGAAGAGTCCAAAAATACAAACAATTCAGCGAAATCAACTGGCAACAAACAGAGCAAATATCGACCGTTGTCAGTCCGTCCAGGTTATATGCCTGAAGTGAAGTATGTGTTCAAATGTCTGAGTCGTGTGTACGAAGACAATGTAGATCTACATATTGTAGTCGAGAGACTAACCACTAAGCGATGTATTTCATCCAGTACGCCCGTAGTTTCGGCCATAATTCAGTTTTTAAAAGAACGAGAAGACGACCTCGTCCCTCAGATCCTCGATCAACTTGAACACTTTCAGACTGATGCGAGTCCAAACAACTGGCAGCCTGTTATTTCCAGTTTCGAGTCTCGACTGCTGGAAGTGATATCTTTATTATCCAATGATACTTTGTTCGGGAACCTTATTCCTAGATTGGTTTCTCTGTGTTCTCGGAGTTTGACTGAAGCACGTTGCAGCTCAAACGATGAGGAAGTGATGAAGGGGGATCTGTCGCTTTGGTAAGTTCTAGTGTAGGTTATTCTTATGGTAAACTACTTCATGTAAGTGTCACGGAGCATGGGTATAAATCTTCATTATACATGAATGCTAAGCTTGGTATAAATGCTGGAAATGTTTATCAGTCAGTGCTGCACGGAAAAAAATATGATTTTTCTTAAGTTAACATTACCTTCCTGTAGCCTATCGGTTGAGAGTTCGACGGGAGTTCAGAAAGTCATACAATACTCGAGGTTCGATTCTTGTCTTGTCGAGAAGTCGGAATTTTTTTACCAGTAGCTTGTGTCTCTGAGGCCCCATCCACACTACGCAGGAGGAGGTTGAAAGCTGAAAGCTCCGTTTTCGTGACGGATTAGTGTGGACGGTAGGCCTAACCGTGGGGATAAAGCTACGTTTTCAAGTTCCTTCGGCGTCTGTACGCTGCCTGAGTGACTACACTCTTCTTATACTCTTCTCTTTTGACTTTAGTCGTGTCTTGACTGCCTTGTGCCAGCTCAAAGAGAATCTTGGCTGTGTTCGAACGGTGTGTTATGACGTCATACGTTCCCTGTACCGTTCCCAGAACGCTGCTCTACAGCTTGCAGTTACCATGGTTACCGTTTGGCCGAAAGTTCTGAAAACGTCTTCCGATTATTCGAGAGGCAAACAATCGCCTCTTGCTCATACTCTGAAGTTAGTGTTATCGTATGGGGTTCAGAGGTTTCCGTCTGCCGATCTTGGCAACATCTTACGAGTTCTGTGCTGCTGGGAAGATGATTCGGTAACAGAGGAAGACCTGAAACGCTTTGGATTGCAGCTTATTCAACCATTGCGTGAGGAGGGATTGGGGGCTAACGTCGGTCTTGGTAAAGGTAAGACGAGGGATTGAGTCCATTAATAGATTCCATCTTAGAATTTTTTCGATGTACATAACCCTGTACAATCTAATGAACAATACAACAAAACACTGTTCAGTAGCTATTGTTTAAATGAACGTTAGGGTTTAACTGAAGGATTTATTTTGGGACTTACCTTGTCCGTTATAATAAACAGTATTAAATGAAACTACTGCTCGACAGCTTTTATTTGAATGGTCACACACTCCACCTTGTACAGCATAGTAAACAGTACCACATGAAAGTACTGCTCAATAGCTTTCATTTGAATGGTCACACACTAGGGTTTCAT